AGATTTTTTTTTTAATGAAATGACGTGTGGATGCTATTTCTTTGTTCTATTAAAAAATAACTCGATTATACCATAAGTCGATTTATTTTATTTATTAAGAATTTGAAATATCATAAAAACTTCAGAAGATTTTTCCACAGTTAGGTTGAAAATGGAAAAACTAAAATAAAAAACATGCTCTGTCGAAAAGGTACAGGGTCAGGCAACCAGTAACTAGCTCTTCAAAAGCTTCCTAATTATTTTCTTATACACAGGGGCATTCAGGTCCAGGCATATTTTCCTCCCATCCTTCAGCGAAGCTCTGCCAGGGAAAGAAGAAACACGCCTTTCAGGGCTTGGATTTGAACCAGGGATTGATTAGATGAGGGGTGAAGCAGGGTGCAGAGGTGGGACAGGGTGAAGGCAGGCGAGGAAGGGCGGGGGCAAGGGGACTCCTAGGCATGCAAGGGAAGGGAGAGGAGCAGAGGGTGGGCAGGCGCTAAGAAGCAGGTGGCAATACTCACATCATCTGGGGGGTGGGACAGTAGCCTGACACACCGATGACCTCCAGGCTGCTGATGTGCTTGGGGCGGACTAGAGAGGTGGTCTTCATACACACACAGCGCAGGTCCTCGTCTCCTCCCTCCAGGTCCACTGGGGGTTGGGTCAGGGAGAGGACAGCGGAAGAGAGAGTGTTGACTCAGGGAACCACCAAACTTACCTTAGGGCTCTTTCTTGGGAAACCTTAGTAAAGTGTTTGGCTTTCATGTCCTCCCCCACAAATCATACCTCTCTCGGAGGAGCATTATTGACTAGATAGTAAAGTGCCCCTGGCAGTGCTTGGCACAGCCCCCACACACTTGGAAAGAACTCAAAGAATGAAAGTTTCAGCCCCATCCCTAGGGGTTTCCCGACTCTCTCTCTCTCTCTCCCCGCTTCCCTCTGACCCCACAATGCCTTACTTCAGGTCTCACCTGTGGGGAGGGCGACCACAGCTGGGAGGAGCAGCAGTCCCAGGAGCAGCAGCCCCGGGCCCAGCCAGGGGCTGGGGGCACAGGAACGTGCTCCAACACTCATGTCCAGCAGGTACAAGCCGAAGCCGAGAGTGTAATGCAGTTGAGGCTGGGGCTTATGCAGGCCAGTTGCTCCCAAGACTCTCCAGGCCCATTTTATCCCCAGGGTCCGGAAGCTTGGGTTGGAGAATGGGGAAACTGGGATACTTCTGGGAAGAGCTAGGCCCTGGCCAGCTAAGATTAGGGGGAAAAAAAAAGCCTGAGGTCAGCTGTCTTGGCTGGGCACTGAAAGCAGAATCCACAACCCCAACGTGAACTCATATACAGGCACCTGGGTGCAGTTAGAAACAGTACTTGACCCTTACATGTCTTGCCTTTGTCACATGTTGCTGTAGACTTCTCTGTGGTCACCATGTTGCGGTGTACAGGGCTGGTACCTTCCGACCGGAGGCAGTTTCTGTTTCTTCTCAACTCCCAACTTTCCAAGCACCGCATACTCACCCCTGCCTTTCCTACAGATTTCCAGTTAAAGATAAACAGTTGAGTTGGGTGGCTGTAGGTGTTCAAGGTGTGTCCTTAGTAATTGTTTTCTTGCTGGTAAAAAGTTGAATGTGGTATTTTGATCTTTAGATGATGACTCAGTTTTGAATTTCACCTGAATGTGGAAGTCTTCTTCAGTCTCTTGATCTCTCCCACACTACCAGTCTTCATCCCGTATACTCTAGGGAACAGAGTCTGTTATCCTCAGCTAAAATGATCCTCTGAGAAAAATTGCAGAAGTAATATTTGAACGCGTTCTTTCTTTAAAAACTTGGTGCCTAGATGTTTCTCCATGGGGCTGGGCCCAGAATGAGGTGAAGAAGGAGAGTTTCCAGGCCGCATTCCCCAGAGCCTTCTGTGACCCAGCCCAGGCAGTTTAAGGCAGGCTGTCCTGTCGCCAGAGCAGGGATGCTCTCAGGAGGACACAGAGCACCTGGAGGGGAGTGTGGGGAAGATTCGGAAGAGCAGGTGGAGGGCAGGCGAAAGAATTCCACACAGGAAAGGTCAAGAGATCAATATGGAACATCCTCCCTTTCCTGAAAAAGGATGACTTGGGCTCTTGATTAGGGCAAAGGATGACCTCATCTCAAAGCCAGAGGCTTTCCATCACGCTGATTAACAGCAGTGAAGGGCGTCATAGCCCACTGCAGGGAACTAGCTGGTTCCGAATGCTCAGCGGGACCACACCTCTGCAGGGTGTGCAGTTGACTTCCTGGGCCTCCAGTGTTCTTTGTCTTAGGATCCCACCCCTTGCCTTTCCCCTGACTAAGTCCTATTGAAATTTCTGGTGTTAACCTTGTATCACGTCCTCAGAGAGGCCTTTCCTGATGGCTACAGCTAATTATGTTCCCCGTTGGGTGTTTTGGCACCTTCTACCTTTGCAATTTCTCACAGATCTTCCAAACATGCACACATGTACATTTTGGGGTAAAGATTTTATTTACTTATTTTAGAGAGAGAGAGAGAGCACACATGAGTGGGGGGAAGGGCAGAGAGAGGGAGAATCTCAAGCAGACTCACCACTAAGCATGGACCCCACCATGGGGTTCCATCCCAAGACCCTGAGATCATGACCTGAGCAAAATCAAGAGTTAATCAAGACGCTCAATGGACAGTCACCCAGGCAGCCCGCACACATGTACATTAGACACACAGATGTATATGCATGTGTGTGTGTGTCTGTGTGTCTATTTGGAAGTGTTTCAAATGTTTTCTCTCCCCAAATGGAAAGCTCTACGAGGTAAGACATCATAACGCTTATCCTTATTCTAGCACATGGGTAGGGACTTGATATAACGTACTATGTACAAGAAGATAATACATGTTGAAAATGATTCTGAGGCTTTGACTTACTGATGTATTGTTTCTTTATGCAGTTAGAGCATGCCTCTATATTAGTGTGTGTCCCACATGGTTGTGATGATTTGTTAAGCTATCTGCCTCTTCTACCGGACAATGATCTCTTCAAGGACAATTATGTGTGACTTACACTTTTTTTTTAAATACCCAGCATCCAATGCGATGATTCATACAGAATATGCTGTGACTTAGACAAGTTTATTGCATTAAAACTTGAGATCCCAAATAGGGTTAGTGACCGAGGGAAGGGATAAAAGGGATGGTTTGGGGTATAAAGTGTCAGCACACTGGCTTTGTGCAACCTTACCCCTGGATTTCAATATTTGCAGGAAGTGGTAAGTGACCATTAAATGACGTTTTCTCTGCATTAAATGAAATAGTTCAACATCCATGCACAAAAATAAAAGACATCTGCCTCTGAGGAGGTATAGCTTAGTGAAAAAACTGTGTCATGTCTCAGGAGCTGGCACTGTTGTATTTTAGTAGCAAACCACTAGGGAAATAAACAAGATGTCTGAGCCATTTTGAATTATTGGAGAAAAGCTAATGAAAATGACTGTAATCCCCACTTACTGCTTTGATAAAAATATAAATATAAACATACGTATAAATTTGTTGTTGCTATTAACTATTACTTAATAAATGCCTTTATTTTGTAGACAAAACATTTTAAGGCACTGAATTTATGGTGAGGAGATAATAAAAGAAGATCGTAATATACAAAATTCAAGAACTGAATGCTTAATACATGAGTGTTCTCCAAAGTCCATGTACAGGTTGGGGTTAATGAACTTACTTCTTCTCCTATAACCATCATAGTATGCTACTTATGATCAGGTTGTATTTTGTGTGCCAATAACACTGTATGATATACAATGTAATCTCTTTATTAGAGAAAGAAGAATCAAGGAAAGTAGTGCGGTGGTTAAAAGCAGAGTTTCAAATCCCCACTCTGTCACCTACTTAGTTATCTGATCTTGGGGCAAATTTCCTAATTTCTTTGCACTTCAGTTTTCGTCTCTATAATGCTGTGGATACGAATAGTAACGATAACAAATAGTTGTTAACATTTATATACCTGTCTTTGTGTGACATGCACTACTTCTAGCCCTTGGAATTTATTAACTCTTAATTTTCACATCAACTCTGGGAGATAAGCAATATTATTATACCATTTTAGAGATGAAGAAACCAAGGCACAGAGAGGTTATGCAACCTGCCCAGCTAGCAAATGACAGAACCATTTAAACCCAATTATCCTCTCTGCAGAGAATGTCTTCTTAACCAGATCATAGCTGTCTTGTGAGAATTATATAATTCATGCCTACAAAACACTCAATATGTCTGGCATATTAAAATTTATCAATAAAGTTTAGCTATTATAATAAATTAAAATGACATAAATTGTCAACAAGTTATTTTGTTTGCTAGATTGTGGAATACTGAAGTGTAAAAAAAAATAATAAAAAGGTAATTAAGGCATTTTCCCCCCAACAGTTTGGTTAAAATTAGTAATATATGACAACAAAGCAATAACAATTTTGATTTCATGTTAATTGTGTAAGAATAGTGTGGGTGTAAATTTCAGGGACTAAGAAATACCAGAAGGAGGGGGAAGAGAGAGGGCAAAATGGGTGAAGAGGGATAGAAAGCATGGGCTTCCTGTTACGGAATGAGGAGATCATGGGGATAAAGGCACCACATAGGGAATACAGTAAATGAGGTTGTAATAATGTTGTAATGAGACACCTACATTTTTGGTGGACATAGCATAAGGTATCAGGAAGTTTAATCACTATGCTGAAATGAATGCAACATTGGGTGTCAACTATGTTCAAATAAAAACAATTTTAAAAAGAATGAAAGTTCTCTTGATTATAAAGCAATAATTAGAAGTTTGATAAAGTTTACATTTTTTATTTTACTTATTTACAAGGTTGATTCTAATACTAAAATTGTAACCATGAAGCTATTAAGTAAATGCAAATATATACAAACATGCCAGGTTAAAACATTTAGCACTATATAGAACCTGTATTATTATTATATTGAAAATACTGGAGTTTTTTAACAGAAAACATTAAAGCTTTTCATCATATTTTTAAAAGATTTATTTATTTATTTATTTGACAGAGACAGAAAGGGAAAAGCAGCAGAAGGAGAGGGAGAAGCAAACTCCTTGCTGAGCAAGGAGCCCAATGTGGGACTCCATCCTGGGACCTTGAGATAATGACCTGGGCCAAAGGCAGCCACTTAATGAACGGAGCCACCAGGTGCCCCTCATCGTGTTTTTTATTGTACTCATATTAAATATATTCTCTTTAAAATAAGTAACCACTGCTTACAAGACTCACATTCTACAACTTTATTATTTTTACAGTTTGAAGCCTAAAATAAACATTAGAAAAATCTTTCAGAAAATGCTTTGAAACAAGACATCCTAAGACTAAGACATTGAAAGACTCTATTAAGTGCCTAAATAAATTAACAAACATTTCTTGAGCAAGTGCTCCTTTCTGGGATCTGTGTGATTCCGAAAATCATCAACCATTCTGAAATCTATTAATCATCATGAGCATAGCTAGTCTAACAGTAAGGTAGAGCAAGATAGGTTTAATGCACATATAAGTATTTGAAGAGAAAATTTTAGATAAAGGGATGCAAAACAGAGTGCCACATTTAACCAAGAGTTAGAGAACAAATCCCACGTTATATTTTGAAAGTAAGTTTGCTTATTGTCACCTTCTCTCTGTCATCTATTAACCAGTCTTCTCAGAATGTCATGAATTTTAGGGGCAGAATGGAAAACACATCCAAAATTTAATACAATATAAATAGGTATTTTGGATAAATAAGAACTCCAGGAAGTCAAGCCTTCAAACTCTTACTGTTCTTGGGAGATAAAAAGGTTTGACAGAAAGTGAACAGATTAAGCTGTTGACCCACTGCTTTCCAAAATTTTCTGGACTATTTTCTTGATTTTGGGAGCTTCCGTGTCCAAGCAAATTTCCTTCCCATTCTTCAGTGTGGCTCTGCAAGAGAGAATGGAATTTTCTGTGAGTGGCCTGGCATGACTCTTAGAAGGGACGCACAGGACTGGAAACAATAGTGTCAATAGGATGTGGAAGAGAAGCAGGGACTTACATCACTTCGACGTTGGCACAATGGGGTCCTGCTCTGAGCACCTCTAAACTTTGGATGTTACTTGGATGAATGCCAGAGACGGTATTCAAGCACATGCAGCGAAGTTCAATGAACCGCTTCCTGTCCACACTGGGAGCTAGGGTACAAAGTGTGGCTCAATTAGTGGTCGCGATTATAGCGGAGATCTTATCTCTTTTTTTTTTTCCATTTTTTAAAATTTTTAAAATTTATTTTCAGCGTAACAGCATTCATTGTTTTTGCACCACACCCAGTGCTCCATGCAATCCGTGCGCTCCCCAATACCCACCACCTGGTGAGATCTTATCTCTTGACGTGTTTCCCTAGTCCCCTTATTTGTTAACTCTACCTCTCTCATAAAGCCACTGTGTCTACGATCATCTTCAAACCTTCTGTGAAGTATCTTAGCAGAGTGCTGGGCACATCTTAAGTGTCAGTGCAACATCCCCTGGTCACTTACGAGCTATTAGTATCATGCCCATCTCCAGCCCCAGGAGAACCAGGCCAGACTCTCCCCCAGACACTGCTGCAGGGCAGCAGACACTCGACTCTCAGTTTTCCCGGAGTTTCTCTTACTTTTTCCAGCAGTCCAGGGAACCAGCGTCAGGAGCAGGGATAGCAGTAACAGCCTCTGTAGGACCCGGAGGCGGCTGGCGCCGGGACAGGAGGACGTGGCCTTAAGTCTGAGGCTCATGGTGGAGAAGATTAAGCTGGAGTTGTTCCTAGAGACAGGAGACCTCCCTGTGAGAGTGTAGGGTTGCCTAGAAGTTTGCAGCAATGTGGTTTTTCCTGTTCTCCTGATGCCTTTTATACAAGCTCCCTCAAGGCCAGTAAGGAGGAAAAAGATAGGGAAGGAGAGGTGAGGATATAGGGACGTACATGTGGCAGGGTGGTCAAGCTGTGCCCAACCCAGATAAACACCAGGCGGGGCAGGGCTCCTGCTAAATTTCATTTTTCCTTCCCTTCACACCACCCCCCTCCCTTCCTCAGTCCCCATTTCCTTGAGACAAATATAACCTCCCACTTAGGGAGGTAAGAACAAGACTGAAGTATTGTACATATTTTCTCTGTATAACTATGGGATGATGCCCTGATAAGGCAATTAATAGGCTTAAAAGACACTTTATGAGTATCTGAAAACATAAATGCGCCACCCTTTTTGGTTGCCAAGAAAGCAATTGTTCCCAACTTGATTGTTGACAAACGTTGGGATTTGTTTTTAGTATGTGGATAAAATATGAGCCAATAACCATAAAAGACTCAGTCTGTGTACTAGTTTATGGGCGGCTTTCTGTTTTCCAAATGTAGTATTTACCCTTTCATCCAGAAGGTAGAAGAAAAGCTCATTCTTCCCCCCCTTGTGTTATAAAATAAACCGCTTGTTTCTCACACCTTAGCCTACCCTAAAAAGTAAACCCCAGCATACTTACTTTTTCTTTTACTTCTAATATTACAGGGAAATATGTAATATAATTTATTGTAAAAGACTCATACACTGCAGATGTATGTACAATAAAAGGCATAAGTTTCTCTTCATCTTTATTCTATATGATCACTCTCCAGGGGTAACTTTGGTAACAATCTGGCATTAGTTTTCTTTCTTTTTTTTAAAGATTTTATTTATTTGCCAGAAAGAGAGAGAGAGAGCGCACAAGGAGACAGAGCAGCAGGCAGAGGGAGAAGCAGGTTCCCTGCTGAGCAAGGAGCCAATAAGGGGCTTGATCCCAGGACTCTGGGATCATGACCTGATCCAAAGGCAGATGCTTAACCGATTGAGCCACCCAGGCATCCCTGACCTTAGTTTTCTATTCTATCTGCACTTATATACACACGCATACATATACACAGAGACAAAACGCATCACTCATAGGTAGAGAAGTGCATGTATAGAGGTAGACACAGAATTTTTAATAGAAATGGGGTCATTATGTAGCTTACTTTTGTCCTTCAAACATATGTCTTCAGTATCCTTTCATGCTACCTCAATGTAGTTTTGTCCCATCCTTTTTTTTTTTTTTTCAGTAATGAAACAGAACTTTACTAACATTGTAGACTAAATGGCCCTAACAGACATCCACCCAACTGCATCATAGTGCACATTCTATTTAAACACACATGAATCTTTCTCTAGGATAGATCACATGCTAGGTTAAAAAAAAAAAAGTCTTCTAAAAATTTTAACCTGAGTATAGTTAATATACAAAGTTACATCCTTTTTAATAGCTGCATGACTTTCTATCGCATGTGCAATCCTTTGTCCAACCTCTGTCTTATTGGTGACCTCGAGGGTGTTTCCAGTTTTGCAGTATTACAGATTGCAATAAAACCTCTGTTCCTCGATTCTCAGACCCTAATTATGGATCTCGATCTCAGACCCTGCAGGATACAGACAAAGCCCTGCAGAGACGCGGGGCGGACCTACCCGCCACATGCCCATTCGTGTGTGTTATTGTCTGGATCTCTGTTTCTTCTATAAGACTTGCCTCTTCCACTGGACTGCACACTTGTCAAAGCCAAGGCATACCCTAGGTCTCTTTGGATGCTGTAGATATCCTTTGGGGTGTAGGATAATGCAATATACAGTGGGTCCTAAACAGTGTTAGTGAGTAAATCCATGCCTATGTACCACATGAAGGAAAGTTTCTCTTTCCTTTTTAATCAGACACAATCCCCAAACCAAACTCCATGTTGTCCCAAGTACCTATGAAATAAAAAAAGGTGATTTAGAAGGCTGGGAATAAAGGATAAAGTTTGGGCCACAAGCTGTCTTCCTATTACAAATATGTATGAATCTTACACATTACTCTTTAAACTTCCCATTTTTTGGCCTACTTTTTATAAGTTTAAAATTCTGGAAGAAACTCTCAAAATATCCAAATGTACAAAATTACATTTTTTAATCAAAAGAATGGATACAGTAAATTATTTTTTCCAACATTTTTTAAAGATTTTATTTATTTGGGGCACCTGGGTGGCTCAGTGGGTTAAGCCTCTGCCTTCGGCTCAGGTCATGATCCCAGGGTCCTGGGATCGAGCCCCACATCGGGCTCTCTGCTCAGTGGGGAGCCTTCTTCTCCCTCTTTCTCCGCCTGCCTCTCTGCCTACTTGTGATCCCTCTCTGTCAAATAAATAAATAAAATCTTTAAAAAAAAAAAAGAGTGAAAATCTTTAAAAAAAAAAAAAGGTTTTATTTATTTGACAGAGAGAGAGCAAGTACAAGCAAGGGGAACAGCGGAGAGAGAAGAAAAGCAGGCTCCCAAATAGCAGGGAGCCTGATTCAAGTCTTGATCCCAGGACCTCAGGATCAGAGCCCAAGGCAGCCACTTGACCCACTGAGCCACCCAGGAGTCCCTTGTTTTAACTTTTAAGCCAATGTCCCCATTGTTTAACAGTGACTGACTACACCTACTCAAGGAGATAGGCCCTGTTTTATAAGAGCATTTCTTATTCTTCCCACCCCATTTGTTTTCCTCTCGTAAATTCCAGTCTAGCAGTAGAACATCTTTTTTTTTTTTTTAAGATTTTATTTATCTATTTGATAAAGAGATAGAGAAAGATCACAAGTAGGCAGAGAGGCAGGCGGGGGTGGGTGGGGAGAAGCAGGCTCCCCACTGAGCAGAGAGCGGGATGTGGGGCGCCATCCCAGGACCCTGAGATCATGACCTGAGCCAAAGGCGGAGGCTTAACCCACTGAGCCACCCAGGTGCCCCGCAGCAGAATATCTTAAAATGATTTTCCACCTTCCCTCACTCAGAAAGTCATCGTCCAAGAAACAAGCTCAAGAAAAAGCTGAGATAGGGAGTGAATGGCAGAGAGATTCTCAGCAGGAAACAGAGTAAGGAGAATTAACTTCTTTCTAGTTCTTCCTGAACAATGACCTTATCATCTTTCCTCATTACTGTGACTGAAATGTTATTAATTCTCCAGTCAGATATATCTTTATTCAAATGTAAACTCAAAACCATTTCCAGGGCAAGATACAAAGATTTTTTTTCAAGCATCTTAGTATCTTTCTCTTTCCACCTATGATAACCCCCAACACAGATTGTTGGCCACATTTATTGGCTTCACTGGACACTTTTTCTCCCTATATACAATATCCAACTTTCTTTCCTGGTTCATTTAGTACCAGGAAAGAGGTAGGCACGTAGCAAAGTATCATTAAGTCATTGTCTTAATCAACAAATTTGTCACAAAAGGCACATCGTCAGCAAGGTTCATGAGGAAGCATTAACAAATATCCTGAGTCACTAAAATTTCACAAGCCCATTAGTTGGCATTTGAGGTAAATAACGTTTTGCTAGTTTTTGTTGATTCAATAAATATTAAGCATCTACTATGTATTGGGTGTTTAAAAGTTCTTCTTCGTTGTGTGACTTGGCCACTGAACTGTTTCTTTTTTAAAACTGAGACCTTGGGGCGCCTGGGTGGCTCAGTGGGTTAAGCCGCTGCCCTCGGCTCAGGTCATGATCTCAGAGTCCTGGGATCGAGCCCCGCATCGGGCTCTCTGCTCTCTAGGGGAGCCTGCTTCCTCCTCCCTCTCTGCCTGCCTCTCTGCCTGCTTGTGATCTCTCTGTCAAATAAATAAATAAAATCTTTAAAAAAAAAAATAAAACTGAGACCTCAAATATTTGTGCAAAGCCATTGGGACATCAATACTAACGTGCTACTACTAGAAAAGATACTTTGGAATTAGTTATTCAACCAAAAGAAGTCAGCTTATACAAAATAGTGTATTTGAATGAATGTTAGGAAATTAGTGTGAGGGTTCTTGGATTTTAAAATAACTGGACAGCCCTTTTATTGATCTGACATTGTCATACTGTTTATTTTATTTTATTCTGTTAAGTTATTTTATCTCTTTTTCCTTTAAGTCATTGTATAAGTTGCAGAGTCATAGAGCCATTCGGGAAACTAGCAAGTTTTCTAAGACTTGAAACAACTTACCTGTTAGCTATTTTCAAAGAAAATATCTAGAGACATAGGAGGAGCGTTATCCATGAAAATTAAGACATATATTAACTCTGTTTTACATAAAAGATTTTGAATTGACGTCTTCCAAGTATGCAGGAAATAAACTGTGACTTACATATTTAGTCATAGGGGTGTCTGGGTGGCTCAGTCGGCTGGGCGTTTGCCTTTGGCTCAGGTCATGGTCCCAGAGTCCTGGGATCGAGTCCGCATCCAGCTCCCTGCTCAGGGAAGAGCCTGCTTCTCCCTCTCCCTCCGCCTGTTGCTTTGCCTACATTCATGCTCTCTCTCTATCTCTCTGTCAGATAAATAAATAAAATCTTTTTTTTTAATTAGTCATAAAAGCAATCGGTGCAGAAAATCTTAGGGCTCTGTTATTAAAGCACCTTAAGCAATACATTGAAATACTAGCCAATAAAAGATTTCCTATATGTGCTAAAACCAAATACATTTTTTGTGTAATTCTGAGTTGATAAGAATGATCCAGACCTTAACTTGTCTGGCACGCAAGTCCGTTGAGGCTGGATGCTGCCCAGAAGTGAAGTGAAGGGTGGTGGGGTGGCAGCGGAGAGGAAGCAGGGGGAGGGGAATCGCGGGGCGATGTCTCCCTGGGTGCTGTTAGGGGCGTTCACTGCAAAGTTCCGCAGGCCTGAGAACGTTCACTTTACCTTTATGTTTATGAACACCATCCACGGAACATCAAATGCGTAGCGATACTTTTGTGGAACAAGCCCATCCCAAATGTGTGGTCTACAACAACAATTTATTTCTAATAATTCTGTATGTGAATGAGGGGCGCTTG